TCTTTGAGTCAAAAGATTGTAGCTGGAAATTATACCATGATGTTTTCAAGTGGTTTTACTGTGTATTACACAATGCGTGCAGATCTTTCTGGTGGCTAAGCACAAGAGGAAAAAGGCACTGTGCTACCAACTTGATAATAAAACCACTCATTTGATTCTCAACAAAAAAAAGCATGCCTGTCTTGAGCATGGTGCTCTTCCTGTCTAGATAGGATCAAACTGACTGCAGGGTCTTGGAAGATGAGATAGGAAGCTTCCGGGCCAGTGAGTTTATGTTGATGGCGGAGGAACAATCCCGAGAAGGAGGGGGAGACTGGTTATACAACTGCAAGGATGTAATCGGTGTCACTGAGTTGTACAGGTAGAAACTGTTACATTGTATCGTTTTAACAACCACAAAATGTGCACTGGTACAGATGAGAGCTTGCAACACAGGGAATCCAGACAGATAAACCCCTCAGGACCAATAGTGAGAGTAGCGATACCAGAAGGGTAAGAGGAAGGTGGGGGAGAAAGGGGGAACTGATCATAATGATCGACATATAATCCCTTCCCAGGGGGCCGGACAACAGAAAAGCTGGTGAAGGAAGACAGTGTTCAGTATAAGACATGAAAAAAAAAAGATAAATTATCGAGGGTTATGCTGGGGAGGGATGTGCTGATACCAAGGTTTCAAGGAGAAAGAAAATGTTTCGAGAATGATGATGGCAACATATGTACAAATGTGCTTGACACAATGGATGGCTGTAAGGATTGTGATAAGAGCTGTAAGAGCCCCCAATAAAATGATTTAAAAATAAGATAAAACAAGGAACAACCCTATGGAGCACAGTTTTACTCTGACACACAAGGGTGTCCGTGCCTTGGAACCTATCTGGCGGTAACTGGTTTGACCTGGTTTTGATCACCATTTCAATGGACAGGCAGCTGCACTGGAGACAGGGATGTAAGGGCATGGCTGTGTGTTGTAAGTGGGCATGATCAACCACACCACTATATTATTCAGCCTTGCTAAACAGCTGGGCCAAGAGTAGGCTATAGCACCAGAAACCTCTCGATTCAGGACAAAGAAGTCCCATGATTTTTATCGTTCAAAGCACTGGGCTGGCTCAAGGGGAGGGATATTCCAGCAGTGGCTTTCTTATCAGGCTGGCAGGGTGACACGGTTGGGGGAGCAGCACAGCTGCAGGTGCTAATTCAAGGTCTTACAAGATAGTGTACATGTCTTGCTAACTGGGAAGGCAGGGTTTGTAGACATCTTAGGAAGAGTCAAGGTCTTGTTGCGGGGTTCAGCCAGCTGGGCTGGAGCATAGAGTCTCAGCACACTGGAAAGAATGCGCTAGAGAGGGAGGTAGGATGCCTATCATTAGACCCTGCACCATGCTGAAGACTTGAGGGATCATCTTGACGCTGGAGAGGAGCCTCTGCATGGGGGACCAGCAAGGTTGGATTTATCGTTGGGGTAATGCTCCGGTTTCTTGATGGGTACTCCAGTTATTCGGGTCAGTAAGGCACGGAGCAGCCTAGAACAGTACGGGATGAATGTTGACTATGAGGAGTCTGGGGAGTCACTGAATGGAAATGCCTCTTTGGTGAGTGTAGTAAAGAATTTAACCTTGCCCTTGACTTCTGACAGGTGATCTCTAAGCCCTTCCATACTATGTATGATGGGGGTGACTTTGCTTGTTTCAGTAGTCTAAGGTAATTATTTAGGATAGAGGATGACCATGTCAGAAAGACCAACCGTGTGACCTAGGATGGGAGCTTTGGCTCTCAGTGTCAATGGACTTGTAGACTGAGACCAACTACATGGACAATGAGCAGTCACGCCCATGTAGAGAGGTCCCAATAAGAACTAGACACCGAGACTTGGGTGAGCACCCCTGGTTGGCGATACTCAATGCATATCGCTACTAGGAAAGTAGCATCCCTGGGAGAGGACCATGGGAGCTCTATGTTTGATACTCTCCTGGACTCGGTCTGTCCTCTCGGCTTCTTCTCTGGCTTGATTTTAATCTGTATCCTTTCCCTGCAGTCAACCGTCATGGTGAGTATAACAGCTTTCTGTCTGTTCTCTGACTCGCAGAGAATTGTTGAAACTGAACGTGGTCTTGGGGAACCCCAGACTGGCCATTGGTGTCAGAAGCGAAACAAGTCTTGCTGATGCGCTTCCCCCTAGCTCTGCAGGTGTTCTAAGATCCTGCAGGAGGTAATTAGACAGCCAGTGCTCAGAGGCAGAGCCTGGGCCAGACGTCTGGAGTTGGGATTCATGGCCATGGGGGTGAAACGGACGCAGCGGGGGAAGAGTGTAGAACGAAGAAAGGTGAGGTATGGAATTCTGAAGCACGTCCATGGGTAGGGGATTGGCAGAGCCAGAGGGGGCCAGGAAGAGGTGCTAGGAGTCTTTTGTTGAATGTGGATTCAGGAGGAGTTTTAAACTTGCGTCAGTCATACAAAGTCCATGGGTGACATACGTTGTAAAGCACCACGCACTAGGCTAGGAACGGAAAGGTTGGAGGCACTGGAAAACTACACAGAATGCTTGTGCTGACATGAGAATGAGAACCAGTCTTCTGAGGCGAGACAGTCGTCCTTCGGGGAGGCACCATGCACCCTGTCACTGAGAAGGGCTGAGCGGGCCCCCGCGAACACCAAGATTTCTCTTCCACGGTGTTTCTGGACAGAAACCACGTTCCTGGGCCCCTCCTTCATCTAAGGGCACCTCAAGCATGTGCTGTCCTTGAGTGCTTTGAACGTCTTGAGAAATGAATAAAACCCCTGAGACCTGACAACCTCCCCGCAGTCCCCTCCACGTTGAGCTTCAGTGTGGCTTCCTCAACTTGACCTTGGCTTCATCAACTTGACCTTAGGCTTTGGATAGAGGCCAGCACTTGTTTAAAAAGAAAATAAACCTATTCTTGCTAGTCTATGGCCCCAGGGTGATCTTGAGTCACCTGTCAGAGTTCACAAAGCCTCTGGGGGAATCCTAGAATGATTTGGAGAGAAGGTTGCCCTTCCCACACCTGAAACAGGTGTCCCGGGACAGTGACAGTAACACAATGGGCAACCCTGCCACCTTCTACAAGGGCCATGCTAGGGATTTGTTAGCAGGCAGAGGCAGCGCTCACACTGCTCCTGCAGGGAGGGGAGTTCTGGGTGAAGGTCGTCAGGGCTGATCCACAGCTGCAGGGGAAAGGAATGCAGAGCTCCCTAGAGGGAGGGCCCTGGGGAAACAGACCACCTGGGCGCACGCCCTCCCGTACAGGTAATCACATAGTCCCCTGGCTGGAGGGGTGTGAAAATTGTGAATTGGGGGAGGACAGAGGGGGACACTGGTGGGAATGTTTGTCACACCTTTGTTTACAGATTTAGTGTCCATCTGAGTGAGAGTGACCAGAAGAAGTGGGTGCTGGCACTGCAATAAGACCCCACCCCACTGCACACCACACCACACACCACCCCACACCACCATACCACATCCCGTCATACCACACCCCACCATACCATACCCCACCATACCACACACACCACCATACCATACCCCACCACACCACACTACACATACTCCACCACATGCCACACCCCACATACTACATACCACCGTACCACACACCACCATACCATACACACTACCATACCACACCCCACCACACCACACCACACATACCCCACCACATACCACACCCCACACACCACATACTACCATACTTTACACCACCATGCTACACACACCACCATACCACACCCCACCATACCACGTACCACCCCACCACACCCCACATGCCATTCACCACTACCACACCCCACCATACCACACACCAAATGCCATACACCACCATACCACACCCCACAATACCACACATCACATGCCACACCACATACCACGCACCAGCATACCATACATGACACACCACATACCACCCCACCATACCACACACCACACACCCCACCACTTACCACACTCCACATACCACACCCCACCATACCACACTCCACATACCCCACACCACCATACCACACTCCACATACCCCACACCACCATACCACACTCCACATACCACACCCCACCACAAACACCCCCCACCACCCAATTACCAGGAAGTTATTCTGTCTGGAAGCAACCCCAAAGGACAGAGTTAAACTGCCCCAGGAGGGTTTCCCAGCCTGTCAACACTGATTGAGGCCGCCTGCCACCGCTCTGCTGAGGAAGGCCTGCGGGTCAGAGCCACCCCTTTCAGCTGGTAGCCAGGCGCCAGACTTGTGCGCCACCAGGAACGCACAATGTGAAGAAAGCCAGGAGGCAGACAGAGATCCAGGACTCAAGCCCCTTTACCGAAACTGAGGGAGACACACACAGCATGCCCGCTCACCTCGAGCTCAGCTGCCAGTGCCCTGCAGAGGGGCCTGGGAGTCAAAGGGAAGGTAGAGGGCAGCGTGCAGTCAGATGACACTACATGGGAGCTCGTCCCTCTCACTGGAGATTGAGAGAGAGAGAATGAGCGAGAGAGAGAGAGAGAGAGAGAGAGAGAGAGAGAGAGAGAGAGAGAGAGAGAGAGAGAATGAGCGAGCTGCCCGGGTGGTGTCTGCTGTGTGCCCTCTGTTACCGACCCAAAGGCTGGCAGTGTGAGCCCACACACAGGACTTGGAGCTCTGCTTCCACAAAGATGGTTGTTGGGGACAGTTCCCATCGGTAGCGCCCCCCCAATAGGGCATTCCCGTCCGCCATCTTTACAGGCGCACATCGCCAGGCCTTATTTTCCAAAAGAGCCTTGGGTGGGTTCAAAGGGCCACCTTTCTGTCGGGCAGAGGGTCCCTTTCAGAAGAGGAAGAGGCCGCTCAGTCCTGCTCCTGACTCGCGGGGTCGCCAGGAGATGGGGTCACCTGACGGGCAATGGGTTAGGTTTGTGTCGGTTTCGGTTGTGTGGTTTTGTTGCTGGGGGTGGGGTGTGCACGCGCACATAAGTGTGAGTTTGGGCCGACGTGTACTTTTCGTGTTCCAGGTCGCATTTTCCCGCACTCCGTGGCAAGTCTGCGCTCCGTGCTTGGACCCAGGAGGATGCTGCGGAACGACACGGCCGCCACGCCCCTTCTGACCGAGCTGTGGCAGGAGAGTGGCCCGCAGGGTGGCCATGGGTCCGAGCTGCCCCGCAGGTCGCCTGGCGCTGAGGACAGCCACCTGGAGGTGCTCTACGTCCTCATCGTGCTGGGCTTCTTCGGCTTCTTCACCCTGGGCATCATGCTGAGTTACATCCGCTCCAAGAAGCTGGAGCACTCGCACGACCCCTTCAACGTGTACATCGAGTCCGACTCCTGGCAGGAGAAGGACAAGGCGTACCTGCAGGCCCGCATTCTGGAGAGCTGCGGGGCGTGCTACGTCATCGAGAACCAGCTGACGGTGGAGCACCCCACCACTCGGCTTCCTGAGATGCAGCCTTCCTCCTGAGCCTGCAGCCGCTTCCCGGGGACAAACCCTCCTTGCGCGTGCCTCTCCTCGTCTTTATTGGTTGTCTACACCTATTTCTCTTTGTTTGGATTGGGGTTTTTTCATTGTTGGTGGTGGTGGGTGTTGTGTGTGTGTGTGTGTGTGTGTGTGTGTGACTGTTATAAGAGATAGAGAGGATTCGTGGCAGATTTCCCCAAATCACTTTCCTTCCACCACAGGCTCAGCTGTGCCCCAATACCTCTCTTTGCCTTGCGACAGAGCCCTGAGGGCATGGCCTCCGAGCATCGGAACTACATTTCCCAGACTCCCTTGCAGCTAGGGAAGGCCCGGCCATTGAAGGGGAAGGGATGAGCTCACGGGGGAAAAGGAAAGGCCGTGGCCTCTGCATCCTGTGGCCCCTTTCCCAGTGTCTGGGACATGGAAGAGGTGGAGATCTAGCGTTGACTGTGGGCAAAAACAGCCCACACACAGAGGACAAACCCCCACATCTTATCCCCAAACCCCCTGAAACTCGCTGCCACGGAGTCGACAGGACAGAGTAGAACTGCCCCTTTGGGTTTCTGAGGCTGTAAATCTTCGGAGCAAACACTCCATGTTTCTCTCGGGGAGGGAGTGGCTGGCAGCTTCCCGTGCTGACCAGTGTCTAGTTCACGACACCATCACATTTCATAGGAGAGAGAGATGCACTTCAATCCTGTCCCACCACTCTGGTTCAAGTAACCGAGTCAATAGCCTAACAATGAGGGAGCTTCAGGAACGTCATGCACAAGGCCCACGATCCTTTCGTTCCACTTGCACACAAACGTTTGGAAGCGCCTTCAAGATGCCCCACATCAAACCAGTTGCCGCTGTGGCACATTCCCAATGACCCCGTGTGTGTCAGAGCCAAACCGCGCCCCATAGGGACTTCAGTGTGATCTTCCCAGGTGACACACCTACCTTGTAGGACTGACAGGGAAGGGGGGATGTTTGTCACAAGCATACTCCTTACACACTTCGCACCCACACATCTCAACCTAGAAAGATCTCTCTCTGTCTCCACGACTGAGTTGGATGACAAAGCCCTTCCCGGTCAAGGTGTAGATTAAAGAGGAAGACGGGCAGGAGGGAGGCCACACCTACCTGTTCAGTGGTCCAGGAAGCCGGAAGTGGCAATGCCTGGGCCTGAGGGGGCAGGCATGCCTCTCCTCACCCCAGGGACAGATCTGCTTTACACACACACACACACACACACACACACACACACACACACACACGGCTGGTGGGAAACTTCACAGGCAGAGCATGGAGGTGGATGTTTTTCCCAGGAGCTGCTCCTGGGAAGCAGGAGGAAGCCTCCTGTGTGTGTGCTCCCGAGGGCCCACCAACTGCTGCTTCTGTGGGGTTCGTGACATCCTGAAAGCTCACCTACCGGTTGTTCTAGAAAAGTGTGGGAGATTTAAATAAAGTGTAAGTTAAACAAACAAAAACAATCTGCATCTCACAAAGGTAACCCACAAGAACTGGTCGTCCTCAGAGGGACACGATGGGCCCAGCCGACTCCAGACCACGTGCCACGTGTCACACACGGTGCCCCCGTGTGTGCGGTTGGGAGGTAGGGTTCTGGTGGGGACATGTCTACAGGGCTTGCGATCAGTGGGTTCTTCGGCTCAATGACCTTTTGAACATCGAATGAAAACCGTAGACCCTCCCTGCAAAAGGTACAATCTACATTTAACATCAGGGCCCTGGGTGGCTCAATGGGTTAAACTCTCGATTTCTAACCTAAAGGTTGGAGGTTCGAAGCCACGCGGGGACACTGTGGAAGGAGAAGAGCCTGGCGTGTGCTTCCATAGAGATGACGGGAAGCAGGACCCTGTGGAGCTTGGTTCTACTCTAACATATGGAGCCGCCATGAGTCAGAGTCTACTCAATGACGACCTGCTCTGTTCTGTGTGGTTTTTATAGACACAACATTTTGACCACTGTTTGTGGGGTTCCAGGTTGAGGCAAAGCCAGTTTGGGCAGCGGGAACCCCAGAGTCCCTGAGTTAATACCTTGCTTCAGACAGATGAGGGAGAGGGACCCGGGGGAGCTTGGGCCTGGAGAGAGATCCAGGGTGAGTACGACCCACAGCAAGGCTGCCAGTGAGGTTCGAAGTCCACTGATGGGCTTGCTCATTCTCTTTCCCATGCAGATCCTGCAACTTTTTATTTTAAATGATTTCATTGGCACATAGTCCACACATCACGCCATTCAATAGCTCAGTCGTATCAGAAGAGTTGTATAGTCACAGAACATTCCCTTCACTCTGGTCCTCGTCGTTATCAGCTCCCATTTCCTCCCAATCCACTTTACTGTCTCTGCAGATTTACCTGCCCTGGATTTCATATACAGAAAAAGATGTTTTAAAACAACAACAACAAAACAAAGTAAAATAGAGGAAAAACCTCAATCAAAAAGAAAGCAGAAAATGTTAAAAACTAGAACAGATTTTAAATGGGCCAAAAGGGAAATCGAATGATAGGGTGTTAAATTTTAACCTAACGTCATCTGCAGTTACCCACTTCTCAATGAGCTCTGTATGGTAGCAAGGCTGTCCACACCCCTGCTTTGTGTTCAGAGGGGATCCCCAGAAACAGAATCCATGCATGGTTCCCCTTCATCTTGTTTTTTAACTGAAACAATTTTTAAATGAGTCAAAGGGAGATGAAATGATAAGATATTACATTTTAACCTATGTCTGCCCTAATCGACGTTACAGTGCTCTCTGTCTGATAGCAAAGCTATGCACATCCCTAGATTATGGTCAGAAGGTCTTCACCAGAGGTTTAATCTATGTGTAAATCCTGCAACTGTATCTTTGGGCTTCCACTGTTATCCACAGCCTTCTGCAAATCAGATGTTCACAATTTAAGCTCTGATACCATTCTCTCCTCTGGATTTGGATTTTATAATTTCCAATCCTTGGATCACGCGGTATGGTTTGCTTCTTCCGTGTGGACTCAGTTGATGCCTCATTCAGATGACTGCTTGTTTGAAGACAAGCTTTTAAGACCCCACTTGCTATTCTTTCTGATAGCTGGGCACCGTCTAGTTTCTTTGTTACACTTTGCTATAGCACCCATTTCTTCAGTGATCTCTTCATGAGGGTGAGCATCAAACAAGGCCATGTCATAAGAACTAATTGTTCATGGAGTGGGGCAAGAACTAAGTGCAAGCCCCAAATCCATTCAGCAATCTATGCTTTGTATATGTCTCTGGTCGATATTGATGACATCATTGTCATTTTATGTTAGGGAATATCATCAGTTATCTTGCTGGGGGATAAGGTAATTCTATTGATGGTGTCATCAATTGAACCAATGGTATCAAATCTAAAACACTGTTGAGAAAAGGAAATTATATAAGTATAGGCTGGCTATGAACCACAATACATGAATTCTTGTACAAATTAAACTCTTAAGTGACTGGAAATTATTTACACCAAAAAAATGGGGTATGGTGATAGGGCGAAACTTTCAATAATATTCATTGAGAGTGGCAGTACCACACTTAGCAGGTTAATACAAGCCATAATAAAGCTAGGAAGGCATTCAAATAGTAAGTATATGGGAGTCTCGGGCCACCATTCATTGGGCACACTCAAGGCAAGCGATCTGAACCAAAGCCCAACATCTGCCAGTTCTATAGCCTTGGGCCAGCAGTCCTCAGCTTCTTCTCACACTGGGGAGTTTCAGCCTTAAGCCCAAGGGCTGCAGGTGAGTTTGAGGTGAAGTCCAGTTCCCGTGGCGTGGAGGCTGGCAAGTCAGAAGTCCACAGGCTGGGCAGCAGGCTGGCCACTAGCTGACTGGAGTACTATTTCTGTAGGGAAGGCCGGCCGCCTGGCAGCTCAGGTTGCATTACTGTGGCCCAGCTCTGAGATAGAACTTCTCTGCAGAACCTCCATTTTTGCTCCTAGGGCATTGAGATGGTTGGGTGCGGGTAGTTTTAAAGAATTTAAAGGAATTCTTTAAAAGAATGCAGACACCTCAGCACTGGGCTACTGGTTGAAAGGTTGCTGCTTTGAAGCCACCCAGAGGTCCCTCCGAAGACAGGCCTGGCCAGCTGCTTCCAGACCCTGGGGAGCCATCCAGCGCACACGCAGCGTGGCCGGCAGTGGGCGCTGACCCCACAGCCACTCACAGCAACAGCTGTCTCCTTTAACCAGAGTCCACTGACAGGGGCGGGGTGGGGGGTGGGGGTAGGAGGGAGTAGCAAAAAGTTGATCACAAAATTCCATCATCTTTTCATGCCATTTGCAGCCCCTTTGGAGATGTTAACCACACCACACAAAATGCCTTTCCCAATAACACCTACACCTGTGTTTGACCAAACACCTTGGCACCACAGCCTAGCCAAGTTGACGCATCAAATTAGCCACTCCACGGGACTCTGACCAGGCAGCCCCAGGGGTGCAGGGATCAGGCAGAGGAGACGGGCAACAGGTCGTTAAACGCTGCCATCTCCCCACACTTGGTGGGCAGATGGCATGACCACTACCTTTGTGGTCAGCAGCTCCTGGATAACTCCCTACATCCCCAGGGCTCTTTCTGAGTTGGAAATCAACTCAGTGGCAGTGAATCTGGTTTGGGGTTCTGTGTCCACAGAAAGTGCCCTGGTGGCACTGTGGTGACGCGCTCAGCTGCTAACAAAAGGTGGTTCGAACCCACCAGCTGCTCGGTCAAGATTACAGCCCTGGAGACCTGATGGGGGCAGCGCTCCTCCATCCTACAGGGCCACCGTGAGCTGGAATCAGGTGGATGGCGACCGTTTCTTGTGCCCACAGAGCAGTTATCAGCTGATGGGGATGCAAGATGAGAGAGCCCCACGTGCTAATCTGCATCCGCCCAGAGATGCACCGATTGTGGACCGGCAGTTCCCTCGGCCCGTCAGCACCCCGTCCCAGCTTGCTCTCCACTGCAAACCTAAACTGGGGCCGTTGGGACCCAGCAGGCAGGCAGAACCAAGAAGAAGAAGTGGGCCAGCTGCCTCCACAAGACAACTCGGTGCGACAGTTCTGCTTGTTCACCTGGGGTCGCCGTGAGTCGGGATTGGCTTAGCGTCAGCAGGCTTGCTGTTGGGGCTCTTGGGTGGCTGAGTGACACTCGTTACAGGAGTG